CATTCCGGCCAGGAACGGAAGAATAACCCAGTGCTGTTGCCTCGGAAAAAAAGTGAGAGGACGACCAACGTCTGTGTCCCTGACCGGCGAATTCTGGCATCAGATGCATTCCCAGGATGCTGACGCATAGTGTGCCAGATGTCCGAGCATATGACCATCGTAGACTCAGCTAAAAACGGCTTCCTCGGTGCTATCCAGTTGGGTTCGATGCTGTGCTGAGCTCGGCAGGCTGACTGCGCTGGAGCGCCGCCGAAGCACAGCCAAACGATTTATAAGTAAAAAGGCGCACAAGTTCGGGAATGGCACCATTGCTGTTTTGAGGAAAGGATAGGTAAGTAAGAGTTGGTTTCAAAAATTGCAAAAAGTTATCATCTTCGGAAAATTTTTGCTGCTCTGTATGAAAGTTGGAAGGCTATTTCAAGTGTTTATCTACACAGATTTAGGATCTAAAATGTCAGTCTACATTTATGCTTCTATACATAGAACAAGCACGATGCCAACCAATAACCAGAGGCGTGCCGATCCCGGTAAATCCCAAATCGACACATGTTATGTGTTGGCAGTGACATTAATGATCTGGCGCAAACGTGCATTGTTTCTGCATGATGAAAACAGCATTATATTATATACATCAACCACTATGTGAAATCACTAAGAGCTTATAAAATTATATAGAATATCGCCCCGACCTTCGCATAACAACAACAACCATTTATTTAGAAACAAAGTTGACGACAGTGGTGTTATGGGGAGATGGCACAAAGGCCCACAGCCTATCACTAGCCACCATCCCCCAGTATCGATCCCCAGTACCTATCCCAGTACCGTATCGATCTACATAATATCATTTTGTACACTTACTGGGCTGGGTAGTTCGATCCAAAATTTAAGCGTTAGCATTTTGTACCAGTGTCCTCGTTATCAATGAGCCTTGATGGAAAGCATCACGAAGCATCCATGACTGTATCCTCAGCGTCATAAGCGAAGACAATTGCTAAGCTCACCGCTCACAAACAGATATCCCGAGCCCTGCATAATGCATACCTGCTTCTGCCTATCAGACAACCAGCCGGCCGGCCGGCTCTGTGCCGTCGCCGCGCCGGCCGGCCGACCCGGCTCGCCTCGGCCTGCCTGGCTGGCCCCGAGCGCCGCGGCCGCGGCCGCCCGCCCGGCTGGCTGGCTGGCGTATCGCGGCCGGCCCGCCGGCAGCCGACGCTTGAAAGCACGGGCGGGCGGCGTGGCCGGTCGGCCGGGCGGGCAGGCGGGGGGCGCCAGATGCGGCCGCGCGGCAGCGGCGGCGGCGGCGGCGGCGGCGGGCCGCCTCCCTCGCCGGTTGGCGCTACGATCGATTTCCCGGGCCGGCCGACGGACGCGGCCCGAAAAACACCGGGCCAGCGCGGCGGCGGCGGCGGCGGCGCGGCCGGCAGGGGGCAGCAGCGGCCGCCGGGCCCGCCCGGCCGCCGCCGCCGCCCGAGATGGCCCTCTGGCCGGGGCGGCGTCGGCAATCGATGGTAACTATGGCGACGCTACTGATCTATGGGCACCTGGCGCGTGCTTGCACCGTGCGCAGTCGGCGCCGCGGCCGTCGGCGCACCTGATTCATTCTGCCCGGCCGCCGACCCCGTGTCCATGGGAGGCGAACGGGCGCGGTCACTGGCCGGCGCGGAAAAGTACCGCAGCGCCCGAGGAAGAAGCCTGACAGCTCAGATCTTAAAGTGAAAAATAAAGAATGAGAAAACGAAAATAAGTCAGATCCATGCTAGCTAGCAAGCAAAAAATGTTTATATTGCGACCTCCGCGGTTGCAACGCAAGAAATGCTCCCTGACCGTAACCAGAGTCAGGTCACGAGGCACGTCACAAAGGTCAAACATGTTCACCCGTCGTGGCATTTTGCCTAGACAGCTTAATGGCGTAGCGATGAAAACATGAATGAACCCAGGCACGACGTAGAGAAATACCCGGAATCATGCCGGAGGCCTTTTCTGTGAATTAGGATCAGCAGGACTAACATCAAATGGAAGAAGCTGCAGCCAAGGCAATATTCAGCGCCCTGCCCAACGTAGGAACGGAATAGGGATCTATCAGACGCAAAGTTCGCCAAGCTTGAGAACAGAGACTGATGCGTTAAAAAGCTTCTGGTGCTTTAACTACTGGCAAGACTAAAACCTACGAAAAAAATGACAGCCGTTCCTATGGGGTTGCTCCAGCATTGGCTAAGCTGAGCTTCATCAACTAAAGGACTTCCCTTTTCAATGCATGCACCGATAGGAAGAGGCGGAAATAAGCACGAAAACATGTACAAAAGTTTGCGGTGTATAAGAAGGCAGCAGACCCTAGCAAACAACGCAAAATGGACACTGATCTATCAAATATATCCTGATTAAGCAGTATGCACGACCCACATCATTTATGCACAATCGATTGGTTTTCCGTTGCAGCATGCACGGTTTGGATATTTTCCACTCCCCTGCCGGCAGCCACTCCCTCTCCGCCAGCACTGCCTTGCATCCAATGGGCGACGGGATGGCTGTACGGACCACGGTGATGATATAGATTTACGGAGGCCGTAACCACAAGGTTACAAGGCGCTGCGCCTCAGAGCCGGCCATGAACGCTGCAGCGGCCGACAGGCCGGCTCCAGGACAGCCACGATCGTGGCGCAAACACGTGGGGAAAGCGCCACGGGAGGCAGAGAACCGTTGGCGAAGAGCCGATGTCTAGTGTTGAAGCGTGTCGATCGAATGACGTGAAACCGTGAGCGAATAAGGAGATATTCTTGCACAGAAAATAATTACCTACCATCGGTAAGGTTTAGTTGCTAGTTCCCAATATATCTAGCACGGTTTGGGTGCCGAGCTGTCATCACTCATCAGCATATCTTCAGTAACACACTGCCGCGCTATGCAAATAGCAGCATGCGTGGATGCCTTCGCCGAACCACTCAATGGGCTCGCAAAGCAGCCGTACGACGCGCGTTTCCCGTCATAATCCTTCCCGGAAAGCCATAATCCGCGCCGTTCGAGTTCCCACGCCGCAAATACCAAACCCGAGACGATGCTGTCGGCACCCCCTCCCCCTCATCCCAGTCACAGAAGCCACCTAACCGTTCGGTGGACCGGTCGCCGCCGCCTGGGATCTCATTATCTACTACATCGCAGCGGTCGAGGCGGCACCTCACACACAGTAATCACTACGATCGCCCCCCCCCCCCCCCCGACCCTCCCCACTACAGCGGAGCGGTCACCGGGTCCGCAGAGCCCAGCGGCTCGGAATGCGGCGCCGGCTGTCACCCCTCCCCCTCCCCTCCCCAGACCGGAAGCGAGGTCGACCTTGCCTTGGCTGCGGCGGCAGACGAGCCGGCGTGGAGGGGAGGGGAGGGGTGGGGAGGGGAGGGGAGGCCACGTGTCGTCGTGTGTAAACAATGGCTGGCGGCAGCGACGGTCAGCTGATCGGCGTAGTGGTTCGAGGAGGGGAGGGGAGGGCCGGGGCTGTCGGCCCGTGAGGACGGCTGGTGACAAGGGCCGCCTGATGACCGCACTGAGACGGGATGCACCAGGTACGCCGGGAGTGACTGTGTGACTGATCACCTGACACTGGGAGAGACAGATTGATTAGTCATACTGGTAGAGTGACCGACTGACACTGGATCAGGAGGAGGCTGTATGCCTGGACCTCACTGACTGATACCGCCTGTGTCACTGAGTGACCAACTACTGACAAGAATTACTGAGGACTGACAAGAAGCGAGCCAGAAAACGATGGATGGACCGAAGCACTATTGGATGAGACGCCTAGCAAGCCATCCCATCTCAGCCAAAACCACCTACGGTGGGTCAGAGCTGAAGAAAACACGCCACTGAGTTGAATCAGAAGTAGGTATGGCAGGACGCTGGGCGTCGGACGATCCCAAGCTTGTCCAAAGCTAGACTGTCCAAAGCGGCCAAAAACGATTGTTAACTGCTTAGAAACGACCGTATCAGCTTAAGGACCTGAACCATTGCATTGCGCTGTCTATATGTGCCCCTAGCTTTTTTGAAATCGCCCACAATTCCGATTGAAGGTGGACGGTGGTTAGAAGGAATCTCTACGGAGAGTGCCGGTTCAAATGAGTCAAATGTCGGTTCCAACTTCAAAAAGGGTCTCTCACACCACCGCTAGAGCACAGAACGTCAGGTGGTTCACAGCAAAGGTACATTTGGATATTAAAGGGTCATATAACAGGTCCTGTCGCCTTCTCTAATGGTTTACGAAATTTGAGCGCAATGGTCCCAGCCGTTCTCGATATGTAGAAGTGACCTCTGCACAAACGCGCACGCGACTGAAGTATGATGATGATTTGGTGTTTTAGGGCGCACCAGCAACGAGGCTATATGGCGCCCAGCGCGACCGAGGTAGCATGGAAATGTGTTGTCTGGCAGGTGCCTACCGATATGCCAAGTTTCAGGGCAATCGACGTAAGAATTGTTCAAATATTGTAATCGGAACAAGATTGACACCTTCCTTTTGCACGAGCCACGTGCAGCTGTGGTTATTCATATGGAACGGGAAAAGTCCATTACTTTTTTCGTAACTACCTACCTTACAAGAAGACCGCAAGTCACCTCGTCTTTAATTGCCGATAGTTGAAAGTCTCGGTCCAAGAACACACTTTCCTTCTCGTTGTTGTCTCAAGTTTCTTATTTGATTCAAGCGCGCTCATTTCGGGATTTCAACGAAATCATCTGAGCAATTAAAATGTTTGTGCTAAATTTGAAATAAAGAGTTTGAGTAATGATTCGCATTATAATTTCGCGATGAATAAAATCGAGTAAGAGTCAATCATGATACCAGACGGTTCATTGTCATCAACACGTTGTCAGTTTGTTTTTGCCGAGGCTGAATCTGGTGATGTCGGCAGTCGGCGACTACCAGCTGTCGATGAAAAGATGCAGAAATACAGTGATTAAGACAGGCGACTACAATGATTCCAGATCGCCTCTGGATCTAAAGTAACACTCACCAGGTTGTCTGCGGCCGACTGCCGGCTGGAGGGTCGAGAGCCCGGCTGCTGAGACTGCGGAGACGGCACCGGCTGCTGCCGCTGCTGCTGCTGCGGCGACTGCGGCGGCCGCAATTGCTGCTGCGGCGACTGCGGCGGTCGCAGCTGCTGCTGGGGTGATTGCGGAGGTCGCAGCTGCTGCTGGGGTGACTGCGGCGGTCGCAATTGTTGCTGCTGCGGCGACTGCGGGGGTCGCAGCTGCTGCTGATGTTGCTGCTGTTGCTGAAGATGCTGCAGCTGCTGCTGCTGCTGCGGCGACCGCGGCGGTCTCGGCTGTCTCAAATCCTGGTGTGGGGACGGAGGCGGCTGGTGCTGATGAGGCGACTGCGCAGGAGCAGGCTGCTGCTGCTGCTGCAGGTGCTGGTGCGGGGATTGAGGGGGATGCTGCTGCAGCTGCTGCGGAGAAGACGGCGGCTGCTGATGCTGTTGCTGCAGCTGCTGGTGAGGCGACTGGGGCTGCTGCTGCTGCTGCAGCTGGTGATGGGGCGACTGCGGCTGCTGCAGCTGCTGGTGCGGAGACCGGGCCGGCGGCGGCGGCTGGTACGGGGAGCGCGGCTGCAGGTGCTGCGGGGACTGCGGCTGCTGCGGAGAGCGGGCCGGCAGCGGTCGGTGCGCCGCCAGCTGGCCGGCTGTCGGCGGCGCCAGCTGCGGCGACCGGGGCCGCGCCGCGGCACTGTACCCGGCCGGCGGAGGACGGTGCTGGTCCCACGGCCCCGGCGGGTATCCGTGGCCCGGAGCGGCCTGGGGGAGGACACAAACACATTGCAGCAAACGCACAGATAGGAAACAGGGCCAGCCAAGCGGCAGAGGCAGGCACATTTCACACGGACCTTTGGTTCATACAAAATATCGTACATAACAAATTTGACCCATCATAAAAAATTAACACTACAGCGAAATTAACAGTTCCAGGTTAATGCTGATAGTCCTCTCATGTTGCACAAGCACCACTATCTCAATCTCACCTGAGGTCGGGGCACGCCTGGAGCACCAGCGTAAGGGTGGTGCCTCAGAGGTGGGCCCCCCGGCTTCCCCTCGGCTGCCAGCTGCTGGTGCTGATACATGTAGCCCATGCTGCCTGGGACAGATGGACCGTAGCCTGGGTACTGCTGCAGCATTCTCGGAGGGTACCCACCGCCGGCGGAAAGGTACCGCGGTGGCTGGCCAGCCTGCGGTACAGACAGAATTACTTTAGAACCCCAAAAATTGAATGAGGTTAAAATGAATGTTATGTAAGGCTTGTTTCTTACCAAACTGCTACCTACCCCAATAATGCTTATTGTTTGCAGGACGGTTGCATAATGATCATTGATGCAGGTTATTTAACCTAAAATTAATGAGTAGTTGAGGTCTCTGCCCTCCCAGATCTAGACAAGGAGACTAACTAACTACCTAGCAGTAGTCAGTCAAAAGCATAGTCATAAACATTTCCAGCCTGGGTAAATGGTTGCCAGTCTGGGTGAGTCAACAGAATTGTGCCATCAGTGCTGTAATGCTTAGCCAGCAGATTTGTAGGACCACAATTTGCGAAGTATAATATAAGTATTGATTACATCATCAATAACAAAAAACATCATCAATAAACAACCACTTACTATTCCAAAAATTTGCATTCCTGGTCCTACTGCCCTGCCTTGTTGAGAGGCATCGCCCATTGATTTTCCAGGAATATAATTATTAGGAGTGGGTCCATTTCCAGCTCCATTCCCGTTTGCAAAAACAGGTCCAGTACGATCTTCTTCAGCGGAAGCGTGGGGCTGAATCTCAGAGTTTCTTTCATTTTCTGCCCCAACCGAAGCCATTTTCTCGCCGTTGCATCCGACGAGGGCCACGCCGCACCAGTGTCATCGAGCGTCACCACCTGAACGGCGCACCTATCGCAACCATTCACAAGCACTTTTCTTCAAGGTAAAGTATAACAATAAAAAACAACTACAAAAACAATCATTTTATCAATTGCCATCCACAAAAAAACACGCGCGTGGACCCGTGCGTCGCTTTCCAACTGCCGTTCAACTGCGGCGTTTGCGTATCTTTTATTGGCAGTCCCATCGGTGGCTAATCTAGGGAAATTATGGCGAAATCAGACTCACTTGAAAATTCCGCTAGGAATTTACAAAAAACCTCAATATGACAGTGAAGTGATTATGCACTACACATGGTTGAGTAGTGGGAGTCAGAGTCGGAGTAGGAGTCGGTCGGAGTCGATAGTTGTGACCGGAGTGGAAGTCAGAGTTGTTTTTTGAAGCCAAAGCCGGAGTAAGAGTCGGAGAAAATCCATTGACTCCTCCGCATAATGCCACTTGCCAAATGCCAGGGCTGCGGAGTCGGAGTCGGAGTCGATCTGAGTCGACCTGCTCGGTATCGGGGTCGGAGACGTAGATGATTTTGTAAGCTGGAGTTTGATACGAGTCGGAGTCACCGAAAATCCATCGACTCCGCGCAGCCATGAGGTGAGAAACGGCGATCCCCGCCAGCCGCCCCCCCCCCAACCATCGGGTTTTGACGGAGCCCTTGAGTAATAGTCGTTACCGCCAGTCGCCAGACGTGCTTTTATACACGCCAATCACCATCCGAAAACACCAACATTCCTAAAAAAACTTGCCTTGAGAAATAAAATTTTCTCTAGAGATTTTTCGACGAAATTCCCAAGAGATTCCCTAGTCTTTGCACTATCAGACCTGCAAAAAGATAAGCATGTTACACAAACCTTTTATGGCATTTCAATTTATTGCATTGACTTTTATTTTGCAAAGTGTATGTTATTTTGAATAATTCCACAGTTCTTTATACACCGTGAATCAAGGCGATCCCGTGAATTCCACTTGACAGTTGACACATCGATAGCTCAATGTTGCCGTGTGCTTTCTATTTTTGATTATTTTTATAATTCAATTTGTTGTCTTGTATGGGCTGCCTGCTGGCAAGAACAAGAAGCCCTAAATCCTAATTGTTCATTCAACTTGAAGGTAGGGAATCATGATTGCAGGATGGGGCTACTTATATGGCCTTGGGAATTGGGATGGCAGGTGGATTGGAGTTAAGCAGTCTAATACCAGTAATTATTTGCAACTTATGTGACGTGACCACTGACCAGTGACTGCACTCAGCCTCTCAAGTTGTTTGGGGTCACAGTATTAATTGGATAATTTGCCAGCTTTCGCCGTATGATGGCGCTAGCAGAGCTTGTTATATATATATATATATATATATATATATATATATATATATATATATATATATATATATATATATATATATATATATATATATATATATATATATATATATATATATATATATATATATATATATATATATATATATATATATATATATATATATATACCAAATATGTAGGTACCAAATTTCAGCGCAATCGGCTCAGCCGTTATCAAGATCTGGAATCGACCCCTGCACATGCGCATGTGCAGCAGTATCCCAACTGTGACACATGGATATGCAATGCCTAGTGGATGCCTACCTACATGCCAATCGGCACAGTATTTACTGAGATATTGCAATTGATAAAACTCGCACCTCTTCATTTTGCATGGGATGTGCATAAGTGGTCACCCACATGTATCGAAAATAGTCCATTACTTGGTAGGAGGAATGAAGCTACCTTGCAAAAATTACTGCAAGTAAATCGGTCAAGTGGTTGCGGAGATATAAGCTTTTCAAAAGCGTGACCACGGCCGACCTCAGAAATCTCTGTTAAAGGGACCCTCCCACCTTCAAAAAAGTTAATGAATTGGCATGAAAGTGATGTCGCTCGGTTCAGAAAGAGCGAATATGAATAACTACCAAATTTTGTGTAAAGATATTCACCGGTTTTCAAGATATTAGGCTTTTACTTTTGTTTACTTTTTGGCATCTCTGCTGTTCCTAGCGACTATATTTGAAAGTGCGGCACTTGTTGCGTGCAAAGCAGCAATACCACCATTATAGAGTTCAGTGAATACCACGCGTGCTACCATGCGTTTAAGTAAAAGATTTAAAATTGTTAGATCTGTGCTGACGTCACCGGTCACACATTCAGAGGGGCATTCTAATGCATTAACCCCTCTGAATCCAAGTGCTGCAACTTTGAATTTAGATATTTTCGATTTGAGGCATTTCTCGATGTTGTGAGTGCTCAAACCGGTAAGTGCAAGCCAGGGACCCCATTTTGGCTATCTCAACTCAAATCTAATGTTAAGGTGGGATGGTCACTTTAATTAATATATATATAGGAAAGACTACGCTCACTTTGCTCGCTCCGTAAAAATGGCCGGTAATGTCTGTAGTCAGTGTTGGTGATTTTTGATAAATCACGCCAATGTTCATGCCGAAGATTCACCAAAGCTCCGTGTTTCAGCCAACATGTCTTCAAGGGGCGGATCGGATCCACGAGCGGAGTTGGCGGAACTGGTGAAGAAAAGAGCCGACATATCGGTAAGCAGCCTGGCCTGGAGTAGCTGGTACCGCTCAACTGTTCAAATTTCGCGGAATCAGTAAGTTCGCGGAATCAGTAAAGCAAGTTTGTGTGCGTTCTTCATCTTTCCTTTGCTCGGAAGAAGCGTTTGACGTCTAGTCACGTCGTCTAGGATTTCTGACAGCATCAAAACTAGTCACGTATCACCAACTCTGTCTCGTGCGCCGTATACTTGCGACGGGGGAACCGCGGGAGTTGAGGTCGCTGTTCGTTGGTGTTGACCACGAGCATGGCACAAGACACGCAGACAGATTGGTGGTTTACCACATGCCGAGATATCCCTTTAACATTAGCACGTGCATTTGGGAAATGGCTTCGGCCCGCCTCGGCTAATGTTGAAGGTATTTGGGAAACGATTCGGCCCTAGGGCTTTTTGATTTTCCCAGACAAAGTTTTACTGAATATTCTGAGCGGAAGAACCAATTCCAAAGAAGATATTTTCGGATTGTGTGTTCACTAACAGCAACAGCAGAAGTGAGCAAAATTAAGTGACGGCGTTTTCACTTACTTTTGCTGTTAACGTAATTCAACTAAACAAGGGTAGGTATCGTTCCAATGCCAATGTATTTATTGCTGCAGAACATGGTCAGAGTACCTACTCATTATTACAACATAATGCACGCAAAAAACGAACACTTTAAATGCGCGAAGCATCTTAACGAGCCACAATGAAACATTTGGATATTGTTCCAGCTGGGATCTAAGACGCGTTTGATTCAGCGTTTCACCCAATTTTCAGTTTTCTTCACGGTTTCCTCACTCCTGCTGAACTCCATATCTTTATAGTTTATTCTAACTTCTGGCGCTTCACCATCTTCATCCTCAGCTTTTTTAATCTCTAAATAAGGGAAAAGTAAGGAATTTCATCTTTCATACTCAACGGCCAGCGTCGCCCAATAATGAAAAACACAAAAAATAATCGCGGTGACTATAAATATGAACATAGTATTAATAGAATAATTAACACCCTATTAAGAATATAATATATAATACCAAAAGAATATGATATTAAAGGGACCCTCCCACCTTAACATTAGTTTTGAGTTGAGATAGCCAAATTGGTGGCCATGGCCTGAAAATACCGGTTTGGGCACTCACAACATCGAAAAATGCTTTAATTCGGAGATATGGAATTTCAAACTTGCAGTTTTCGGATTCTAAGGGGCTAATGCATTGGTATGCCCCCTTAGAATTTGTGACGTCAGCGGAGGTCTAACGATTTTTAAATCTTTTACTAAAACGTTTGGTAGCACGCGGTGGTATATGCTGCTTTGCGCGCAACAAATGCCGCACTTTCAAATAAAGTCGCTAGGAACAGCGGAGATCCCAGAAAGTAAACAATAGTAAAAGTCTAATATCTTGAAAACCGGTGAATATTTTTCGATGAAATTTGGTAGATATTCGTTTTCGCTCTTCCTGAACCGAGCGACATCACTTTCATGCCAATTCATTAACTTTTTTGAAGGTGGGAGGGTCCCTTTAACTGTTGCGCCGGTACGGCATGTGGTAAATCTCTTCCCAACCTTGGGCTGTGAAAATGCAGTTTTATTCACCTCGGTTTTTGGCTACGGACCTCGTGCCTACCGGCACTCGGTCCTCCGCACAAAAACCTCGGTGAATAAAACGCATTTTCCCAGCCCCGGTCGGGAATATATAATCCCGTGCCAGAACCTGCGCGGGCGAGCGACGCTTATCCAATGTTGGACTGCGGAAGTTCAACAACTTACCGAGTGAAGTGCGGTGTGCTGTAACCATGGCCGGTTTTAAGCGTGCTTTGATGGCTGCACTGGGCGATGAGTGATGTTTATCTTTTAGCTGTGTATTTGTGTCTTTTATCCTTTTTATATATACATACTTTTTATTTTAACAATAGAGATACTTCTACAATTTTTCAACTGTGACGTGACGTCTGAAAAGCCTCGGTTGTGTTGAGGATGTCGTTGAATAAACTGAATCTGAATCTGAATCTGACGCTGAGATACATTCATTCTTCTTTCTATTTTACAATTTAAGTGTCTTGTCGCGCAGTCTTCATTGAATAATATTTTTACCGCAATACTTAAATGCCTAAGGGTAACGTAAATATGGTTTCCTGGAATCGGACCTTCATACTAGTTTACTTATACCGGTCTTCACGTCCTCCACAGCTACGCCAGTGTGCAGTGGGTAACTAACATAGGCACTGCGCCGTTGTAGCCTCGCTGCCACGCTCCCTTCGCTAGAGGAGCTTGGATTCGACCCCCGTGCCTGTCTGATTCCTCTCATGGCGCCCCGGCAGGAGACGCTGGCGAACTTGGAGCGTCAGATTTACCTGTTCGAGGGCAGCTACCTGGAGGACACCCAGCAGTACGGCAACATCATCCGCGGCTGGGACCGCTACCTCTCCGTCAACAAGAACAGCACCAGCAAACAGGACAAGCGCAGCAGGAAGTTCAAGGACGCAGAGCGACTCTTCTCCAAGTCGTCAATCACATCGATAGCGGTGGGTGCGAGATTGCCATTTGTCAATGTAGAAGACGGAGGACAAAGGTGCAATAGTTTAAAATTGTAATGAATTGTTGGTTGAGTTATATAATCACTGCCAGAGAATATTGTTCCGACAGTTATGACGTACAGTGTACACTGCACACTGCCCATTTTTAGGTTTCTTTTGTTACCTACGCCATACATTAGAAAATTCAATATGGTGCGTGTTTTGCGGTCTTCTCCAACGAAGCTCCTTTGCTTAGGTGACTTTTTGGTCAATTACTATGATTATGTGCCATAGCTTGATATGATTATATAAATACGGTTCACTCGATGTGTATGAGATCATTGTCGTCGTTGCCATTTCGGATTGGCATCCTTTAGGATTAAGGATATTGTGTCCTTGAATCGTTACGCATGCGGGATAGCCCAACAGAAGATTTATGTGACTTTCCTGTATGGTATTGCGAGACGGCACTCATGTTTATTTGTTGATTTTCAGGCGGTGAACGGCAGCATGGAGCACAATCACCACTCCTGTGAGTATCGATTACGTTACGTTAAAGCTTTGAAAATGTTTCCGACATTATTCGTTGCTTTTATTCCGACCCGTTGTAGTCGATGAGAAAGTGTGTGATAGTGCACAGCGATATGCCAACCCTCACGAGTCATTGACGCGCGGTGCGTGCCCTTTCAGACCGCGGCACCGACACCGACTCCCAGGGCGCCCACAGCGGCTCTGAGGAGGTGAACGGCTCCGTAGACGGCGTCAGCGACCTCAGCGAGCGGGACCTCTTCCGCGCCAAGAAGAACCGGCTCAAGAAGGTGTCGAAGAAGGTACCGCGACACCGCTGAGCTCGGCATATTCTGTGGATGGGTGCTGTGGGGGCTCTGTGGTGGGTGAAGTGTAACCCGCGCAGAGGAGGGTGGGCGGTGGGTAACCACCAGTGCTGCTAACGCTGAGAGCGAGGATGGATACTGGCTTCAGTCAGCCGAGGAGGGTTGTGGGTGGACTGTGGGCACCACCAGTGCTGCCATTGCTGAGAGCTGGGATGGAGACTGGCTAGGAGGGAAGGTTGGAGGTGGGCGGTGGGTGTCCACCAGTGCTGCCATTGCTGAAAGCGGCGATACACGGAGACTGGCTGTAGTCGGCCATGGGCGGTCGCAGGTGGGCAGTGGGCGCCCTCTAGCGCTACGCTATGACTCGGAGCGGTAATGGGCCAAGACTGGTTAAGACGCCACGGGCGACTTCCCACTCGTTATGACCAACTGGACGATACCCGGCAGCGTGTGGAGCACTATCATGAGACTGATGTACCTGGTGCTGGTGATTGACCAGCGCCGAGCGGACGTGCTTATTCTCAAACATTCATCGCTGGCGTGGGTGTGTACTGCGTATAGCCAGCGTAAATCATCAATGTCGAGAACAGTCGTATATAGGGAAGTACGACGGCGCAGAGCCACTTGTACTGTTTCCTGGGTTCACGGATATGACCGAATCGATGGTGACCTGCTCAGCATTTGTGCGTAGTGTTTCAACTGTGTAACCCCGTGTACCTGTGTACCATATATGAAATGCACCGAACGTCATCCATGTCTAGTAATGTTTCGTCTGCGGGCACCGTGGAACGATTCGGAGCCAGGTTTCCGTGATGGCCGGAAGATGGCAGCTCTCGGGACACTTCAGTATCGACATCTGTCTGAAACACTAACACTTTTGTCATCATATTTATGTATATCTTCAGTCACATTTCAGTACGAGTGAACAAAGCGATATGGAATCGAAACCTCATAGAAGCCACATTCTAGGGGTCTACGACGGCAAAATGTGCGGCAAACCACAATAAATTAGGTCTGGTATACACCTGTTGCTTGCAAAGCCATTGAAAATCGTGCTCAATGAAAGTATTTATTGCAGTAGCAATTGCAAAGGTACCCGGAATCCAAAAACAGACGCTTCAAATGTACGTTTGTACGAGATCACTAAAACCTTAGCCGGATGCGATAAGAATATTACAATCACTGATTCAGTGATTGGCTTCAGTTATCATTATGTACGAACATTATATTTGCATCCCAAGAATTATTCAATCATGTGATGCCAGGTGAGCAGCAAAGTTTATGTCTAACAAGCCTAGGACGTCTTCCACCGCCGTCACCGCTTCTTGGCAATGAGGACGAAGTTTCGAGGCGACATCTTGGGGTCGAAGGCAGGTACCAATATGCTAGGGTGCCCTGAAACGAATCAGAGTTCCGTCAGTATGTCAAAATCAACTGCCATATTGATGAAAGCATTTCACATGGTACGATCCTCACTTGGTGGGCGTTCTGGTCATCTCGACGTAATTGTAAATCCTTGCCCATTTTTATGGTATATCCTTGCAATGTTATTGTTATTTCATGATCCATATTGAAGGCAAATGTATGAAAAGTAATTGTTACATGGGATTCAACAAGTTCAAGAACTTCAAAGACGTGGCGGATTATAAATAAAAAATCATAATACCGTATCAAAAGACCACGGCCGTATAAAAGGGGCATCTGAGTTTGCACTGTTTGCAGGAATGGAGGAAGAGTGGGTGTGATGGATATTGACATAGCCTGGTAAACTAGCCAACCCATGGGAGGGTACGAACGACGCATGCCGCAGCGTGAGCATTGAGTAATGATTTGGCTTTCATAGCAATGGTGAGGTGACTCACAGCGATTCATCGACAATAGGGAACCTTAATACCGTAACGTCGCTGATTTTCTCAATGCAGGCCTCTTTTTTTTTGACGTAACGATGATACTGAGCTTATTATTTTCACCTTTTCAGCTTTTCTCGTGGGCGAGCACGAGACAATGAAGTTAAATGTCAGCATGGCTAGTTGACGTCATTTATCGCGTATTTCTCACTAGTCACCAATAAATGTTTCCATTCGATAATTATTTCACTCAAAGGAAAGGCTAGTGACGTCAAAAAAGCCCGTCAAAAGCGGGTAGGGTGGCGCTGTGTTCCGAAAATAAACACCGTACTGAGCACACGACTGAATCGACGTAGTGACCTCACACACATCCGCATATCGACCTGACCGCAAATTGAGCACCGGAGCACCGTCTACAGCCGTGTCCCTATTCTAGAACAATCCGCTTTGCTGTAAGGCAGTTTGGTAGCTCGTGCTGACTGTTGGCCAGAGAGTCGCCATCCACTGACCGTGCTCCCAGAGGTACATTTGACGGTCCAGCAGGATCACAGTCTCGATGACGGGCGCCAGCATCAGGCGCAGCGAGTAGAACGCCACCACTCGCCGCCAGTGCGCCAGGTCGGCCGCCGAGTGGCTGAGATCCAGCGCAGAGGGCGACACCGGCCCCGGGGTGTCCCCCGTGGCGCCGCTGAGACGGGACACGGCCCGGGCCACGTACCTGGGGGAAGGAGAGGTAACTTAAACCCTGCAAACTAATACGGACCTCATAATGACCATCCCAGCACGTATAGTTCGTAAGTTCCTTTCGCTGTAGCTTTCATCCTTAGTGTATGCCAGTTGCCGGGGGGGGGGGGGGGGACGAAACAAGGTTTCCCTGGCTCGCCAAAACTCCCAGCACCTCAGGTAATGCTAATGGTGAGGTGGGGCATAAGTTATTTTTCTATCCGAAATTCAGGTCGACCACCTCCCTATCACAAGTGTGAGCCAGTATTGACATCACTCGGGTAACGTAACGTCTCAGGTACGTTCCTTTACACACAGAGACAGTGAGCTCCAACATCCGGTTCACTCAAATGCCAAATCTTTCCCCGACCCAACTCAGAAAGAGTGATATCTGCCGTCCGCCTTACTCTGCGAAGGTGAGGGTGTGTGCCTTGTTGACACTGCGCAGGCCGATGTGCCTCAGCCGCGGGTCGTGGCGCACCAGTGCCCGCTCCAGCGCTGCCCGGTACGCATGCACCTGAGATACAGACGGGCCGAGCGAGTGAGACAGTCTGATACACACCGGATCGTCATATTATTTTTTACTTCGGAGCTATGTTGAAGTCACTGGTGAAAAAAGGGATAATTAATAGAACTCAAAAAGTGATCAAATGCGTTTGCTTTCCGAGAAGCATACATCCAATGCATGTTCGCTTAATTATCAATTCAAAATAAATGGAATAGGCGGAAAAAATACGCACTAAAATCTTCCCACACTTGATTGCATTGACATGAGACCGGTAAAAACCATTCATTGTAAAGCAATAACAGTCAAACTTAGCATTACAGCCACGCACGAGTGACCTATAGATTATCTACAGCGCGAGTGGCCTCGTACCTTGAGATGCTGCTCGCCTCCCGCCGCCAGTCGCGCGGCATACTCCTCGATAGCGTGGCACGACATCTCCCTCGCCTCGTAAGTCATATCGTATCCGTGCCTGTCGACCGTCTCCGCCACCAGTCCGCTGAGCGGGTACCCCGCCCACGTTGGAGGCCTCGTCCCTCCGTCCGCCGGCGGCGTCGACAGTTTCATGTAGCAGCAGCCGACCGAGACGACAGCGCCGCACTGCGGTGACCGGACGAACTGCCGCAGCTGGAGGGCGGCCAGGTCACCGCACGTGTGCAGCCCCACCGGGGTGAACTGCAGCGAATCCGTGGAGGTGCCCGTCAGGGAGCAGAGCGTCTGAAAAGAAACGAGATCGGTGCGTCAGACACCATAATAGCGGCTCGGTTACAGTGCGCCAATGCATGAACACTGTTGATAAATAAGAATCTGGCATGCTTTGATGTATTCGAACGAGGATGACCCTAAGATCTAAAATGCCAGACATTTCGGGCAAAGCGTGCACTCGTTAGTGGGTGGGTACTGGGTAGGTACTGCACACAGTGAGTTGTCGTGTTAGCATTTTGTCATCTGCGCTTGAACACGCCAATTAATAAATATTTCAGGCAGGCACATGCGTAATTGCCATCCCTTTATAGCAAAGCAAGAAAGCCGTTTTTACCTCTCAGATACCTCTCAGTAAATAAAGCAAGGCAATTTCAACATTTGATCAAAAATAGGCCAGTTAGTTCCATTCTCAATCATAAACATCTTCAATCTTCATGGATGTAATTAAGCAGGATCGCTGGTAGGAAGTGCCAGTTTCAAAGTTATTAACCTGCAAGATATAAGATGCAATATTTGGGAGTTCACGTGCAATGCACGCATTTACGATTTTGATAAATAATTTGCTTTGCTGTCTCGGCGTCTTGGACGGCCGTTAGCGACTTTGCTAATAAGTTGAATCAAAACAACTGTTATAACGGATAGTTAAGTAAAAATGAAGGCGACACATCTTATTCGCTATATTGCTTAGAATCCAAAACACAGCAATCATGTAGACTTGATGAGAAGTTGCCACTGTGTCCGTTAACAACGCTGGAGAAATGTGACAACACCGCGATCATTTTAGAGTGAACAATGGCCAATCCGGAGAAGAATGAGTCCCTGTCCGCTCCTGGATCAAGGACTGGGGCGTCGTCTATGGCCCAAATGCGATCCAGGTCGAACACCCTGATGCCGACAGACGAAGTGTCCATGCGCCAGTCAGCTTTGTCATCGGTGCTCGCCCATGCCTCCTCCTCGGCAGTAGGAAAATGCCGTGCGATCGGCGGCAATGGACCCATTCGAGACCGATCCATGTCACTGGCACAGGCACAGGAGACTGCCAAAGAGAAACAACAACGAGCAAAAGAAGCCAGAGAGGACAGAAAATCCCGCATCGATCTGACGCACAGACATTTGATTGAATGCACTGCACAGCTTCTCGGTCTGCAAGAAATTCAAGTGGAGGAAAGCATTCTAGACTGTGTCAAAAGCATTGAGATGATCGATGACCTGTTCGCCAAGGAGGGCAGCAAGTCGCTCTTCATGTTCTACATGGAAGCTGAACCTCCCGGCCCCGAGTCTGGACGAATCATTGGCGCCGCAGCCAGGGCCAACAAGGTTCGGCGCATCCTGATAGCTGACGACACGCCGCTACAGGCCCAAGGCACTTGCATCTTCTTCTGCCGCGACAAGAACGACGTCCCGATCACGATGAAGAACATTGCCGAGGAGTTGCGCTTCGGCAGCTTCCAGTTGTCTGGCGATGGCAGCACAGGCGGCGTACTGACCGGCCTGAACCAGTACCTCAGCACCATCTACAACCCGGTGCTGAAGGCGCTGCGCAACTGGGGACAGATCGAGAAAGACTCGCACCACATATCCGACTTTCTCGTCAACATGGCCGGCCTGGCAAACTTCCTGGACGCGGTGCACACCAACCTGGAGCAGCGCGTGGTGCTGAAGCAGAACGAGGAGTTGTCGACGCACCTGGGCACGCCCCGCGAGGTGATCGCCGCCGCCGCCAACCCGGAGCTCATCGAACAGGCCGAGGAGCTGGTTCTCTCCTGGTGCAAACAGATGGAGACCGTGCTGGTGCAGAGCGAACAGATGCGCAAGGAGGGCGATGACACGGGCCCGCTGGCCGAGCTCGAGCACTGGAGACACCTGACAACCAAGTTCAACGACATGGTGGAGCAGATCCGCTCGGAGCCCGTGCAGATGGTCCTCCAGGTGCTCATACAGTCTAAGTCTAAGGTGTTCAAGGCCTGGCGCGACAT